AGAGATATGCTCACATGGCCTCAACCATCGACAACAACAGACATCGAGACGGTTTGTATGTACGATTTGCCAGTCGAGATCTCGAACCTGCTCAAAGCCATCTACGATGGGGTGTAAGTTTTATTCGTGCCCACTCCGTGATTTCTTGCTCTAATCATTAAACTTTGAAAGGACCTTTCAGAACCGAGATATTGAAGATTTCTTTTTTCTTGCATCCATCTTACGACTGTCGTCGAAATATTTCATCGCGCACCTTCGCCGACAGGCGATCGAAGCACTCGCTAAGACGTGGTCGCATCTCCTCGAAGATCACGACGCAATGGTTGAGCGTGCAATCCAGGCACCGGTCGGATCCGAACTCACCTATCCGTATGTCCATCCCATACACGTTCTCAACCTTGCCCGCGAGACACATATTCGTGTTGTCATTCCCTCTGCGCTGTACTTTCTTTCCATGTATCCCTTTGCCGATTTAGTGCGAGGCTCTCATCCAAAGCTCTCTGCTGAATCGCCCTCGGGCCTCCCGCGACCTTCCTCGGTTCTTTCCGTCGAGGACATGAACAACTACACGCTCATGTTTCAGCATCGTATCGAAATCATGCTGGACTATGTACGACGGTTTTTAAGCGAGCGAAGGTCTTGCGTGGCATGTCAGTACCGCCGGGATGAAACAGATGCTGCGCCTCCGAGCCGGCGTCGCCCGTTAGGACCAGAGGAGATCGATCCATGCTCACATACTTTTGCACGAGTCGCATCACGCGCGTCTAGGACGTGGTTCACCCGGACGGGTCCTTTAAAGTGGATGCTGCAGACGGTGCAATATCTCGAGAGTGACGGTATGACGGTTTGCGTACGGTGTAAAGAAGCATTCAAATCCGACGTGGAGAGTCATCGCCTGAATATATGGGAAGCTCTTCCGGGCGTCGTGGGCATGCCTAACTGGTGGCTTCTCAAAGAATCTGACTTGCCTGAGCTTCCTCAACAGTAGTCTATAAAATTTGGAGGTTTGTCTACAAAGTCATGTTTGAATATCGGACTTCTGCACTAGCAAGAACTTGTCACTGGCGTTTATTTCCCTGGACCTCACCAGTGCTTGTCCAAGATATCGACGTGCCCAATTATTTGAAGACAGCACCAATAAAGCTCAAAAGTTCGCTAACATCACACTTGACGAAAATGCCCACTGTCCACAATGTGACAAAGCAGCTCCGACATCTCAGTCTGTCGACCTGTAATGCTTCCACGCAGCTATGAAATACCGAGCATGACTGTTGACCTTTCCATCAACGCGAGCAGCAAGGAAACCCACTAACTAATTTACACTTGGTGTACCAAGTACTAAGGAGGCCTGAGAACTTTCATCATAGTCAAACAAACCATTGGCTACGGTATATCCATAAAGATCTGTACCGTATTATGACGACTGGTGGTTTTATATCTATCTAGTAAAACCTTCAATAAACAGTTCTGAAATCGGTTTCAGGTACAGGTGGGTCCAGAAAGTCTTGCATCCTGCCTTATATGGAAATATACCTGTGGAAATTAACCAACATGTCGAGTTGAGTCGAATATGCCTGTATTGTCACTGTCTGTATGTACAGCAAATGTTTCTACAGCTTTATGTGGCATTTTTACATTTTGAATGGTCATTTTGCATGAGTTTGAACTGCGAGGCGGCACCTTGGAGTATGGTTTCCGCAGGCGGGTGGGAATTGAACTCCATATATGTCGGAAAAATCCGGAGTGAATTGCAATGGATTATAATTCATCATAATGCCTTAATTTAGTTGCTTAATTACAATTATAGCGAAGTTTTGTAACTACATAGCGAATCTTTATAATGTAATTACAATTTGAATTACAATTTGAATTACAACAGGCATTACAATCAAATTATCGACTACGTGCTATAACAGCAAAATAATGATTCCTACAATCCTCCTTCCGTCTTGAAATCCTTACTTAACTGTTGGGATATTTACATATCTGACTTTTTGTACAATTTTTACTCGTGATTCGAACCCAAGACTTAGTACCTAAGAATACATATTACATAATTACACATTAAAACCACTCTGCCAGAGAGCCTTTATACATGGCTTTCATTCCATATATATGAGCCATCACGAAGAAAAGAGGACCGACACTAACCCGTGGACCAGGTCAGGCGGGTCCCGGGTCTCTGGGTGGGTATGGAGGGTAGCCTGTGGGGTACTTTACATTTTGTTTTAGTTTAGTTACATTTAGTTTATTTTACGATATTGAGTAAAAGAGTAAACACTGTGCATATCTGCGGAACAGGCACCCACACAGATGAACACATTTCAGGCCCGAAGTCGACGGAGGACGAGGAGCCATGAGGCTGCGTTTGAACCAGAGCGAACTGACGACACCGCCGAGACCGATATCCTCCTTGAACACATCTGTGATGCGCATACCCGCGTAGAGCAGCTCCTGGCCACGCTCGTCTGAGATCGTCGAGATGAACACAGCAGGTTTGCGGATGAGCCCAAGCTCTTGCGCCCACTTGTAGTCCATCGGGATGACAGGCGGCTCGCGCTCCGGCTTCGGGAAAACTGCACCACTCGCCACCAGTACGTTGTACGTCTCGCGGAGCACGTCCGACAGGTCCTCGAACGTCTCAGACACGACAATGCCAGCGGCTTTCATTGCCGCGTTCTTCGCGTCCGACGTCTCCATAAGCGAGTTCGCCACCGAGCCCGCGTGCCCGAACTGCACCTCTGTTGCGAACATCTTCGCGCACGTACAAATAGCCCATGCAACGATGGGCTTGCGGATCTTGCCCGATTTAACGGCGTCGATCACGCGGTACTCCTCGATACCGCCGACCTCTCCAAGAAGAATGAGCATCTTACAATCGGGGTCGGCCTCATAGCGTAGAAGGTAGACAATAAAAGTCGAACCAGGGTAACGGTCCCCGCCAATTGCGATGCCCTTGTAGGTGCCGTTCATGACGAGCGAAAGGATGTTGTTGAGCTCGTTGGACATACCTCCAAGTTTAGAGATGTAGCCGACGGAGCCTGCAAGGTACAGCTTTGACGCGATGATGTTGTCCATCATACTGAACAGAAAAGCCGAAAATCAACAAATATTATTGAAATAACAAGACGAAGACGTACCCTCCAGAGTTATCGATCTTGAAGTATCCGGCCTTGATACTACCAACAGTAGCGGACCAACGATGAGGATATCCTTTTCTTTCGCAAGGTGCAGGATCTCGCGCGCGTGCCTCTCCGGCACACCCTCAGCAATGATAGTGACCGTCTTGATTTGACTCGAGAAACACGCGGAAACCGAGGGCGTGTCATGACCACATGAGTAATCAAAGTCAAGCATGCCCTGAATCGCGCGGGGCTGGAGACCATAGACAAGACTGCGCGTCTTCGCGTCGAAGGGACGGAACCACGGGCGCACCGATCCCTTCTTGCCATCCGGGAAGTGCACAATCTGGTCTCCAGGCTGCATGCGCTCTCCGGATGAGTGAATCGCACCGATCGAGGCCTCGTCAGAAGGCGCACCGCCAATGACCTTGCCAGGAGGAGGCGAGCCAGGCGCAGACTGCGGGATCGAACGTGCGGAGCTCACACCTGACTTGCGGGCTGACTTGATGCCAAGCGCAATGGGGACAATCTCGATAATGTGAGTGTCCGGGCCGTACACCTTGACGGGCACGCCGAGAGACTTGCCGAGGAGGCGCATCGCCTTAAGACCTTCCTGGTAGTTTGGACCGCCGCGGCGGACGAAGATCGTGACACTGCGCAATGAGGCCGGCCTTGTACTCTTTCAAAGCACGAATGATACCCTTGAATGTTGAGGCAACATTCGTAAAGTTGGCAATACCACCACCAATGATAAGGATCTTGCCATTGGGCTTGGGCGAGCCGCGAGTGATAAGGTCAACAATCGTCTTCGCATACTTGTACGTCTGACCTTCGATTGGAGCACCAGAGTACTCGCCACAGTTAGGGAGCTCGTCGGAAAAGCCGTGTGCAGCAATAGCATCGGAGTAGACAACGGAGGCACCACCATCTGAAGTTTAAATTAAACACTTCAAACTGCATTAGATTTTTAATTGCGAGACTAACCAGCAACCAAGGTCCAAACGCAGCCCTCCGGGTTGAGGACAGTCAACTTAAGAGAAGCGCCAGTCGAGCCATCGAGCTTCTGGATGTAGGCCTCCTATTTGGTGAGCTGTCTATTGAAGGTGGCGGGCCAGACCGTTGGCGAGCCTCGGTTGGCACCAATGACTTTGGTCGTAGATGAGCCTTGAGTCGGGGCGGTAACACTCACATCATGAACAAAATAGCTCACTTAGGGCCACATATGCTTTCGGCAGTCTGGCCGAGCTCCGCGGCCATGTCGAGGAACTGAACAACGGGCTCAGCACTATTCTCGCCATCGAGGGCGATGGGCGGGTGATGAGGTCGATGAGGATCTTGCACTTCTTAGCGTCGTTGATGTGGGTGAGGAATGCGGACGTGCTATCGCACGTCCATTGTGCAGCTGTAGAGCATAGTAGTTTTACAATAGAATTATAATGACTACAACAGAACTATGATTAACCGGCGTAATTACAATAGAGTTATAATTAACCAGCACGATTACAATGTGTTTGTAACATCTTACCAAATTTAGATGGGACTACAATCTACGAAAAAGGAATTGTAATGGTATTACAAAGCTGGATATCGATTACGTCAAACAGGATTTTTCCGACATAAGGCAGGATGCAACACTTTCTGGACCCACCTGTAGGGTACTAGGTATGTACAAAAGAGGAGTACATGATTTATGAACAAGCGCGAAGTTTTTTAAGCTAAACATGTCGCCCTCCCTTCACCCTGACGTATCCCGTCAGCCCAGATTCTTGTCATATCTACCAACCCCCACCCCCGCGATCGCCCCTTTGACCTGCTTAAAATCCTAAACATCTCTGGAATGAAATGCAATAAAATGAAACAAGCATTTCTCAAAAACTATTCCCCGACCGGGAATCGAACCCGGCCCGCCACGGAACTTCTAAATTAAGTGAAAGCGTGGAATCCTAGCCGATGGACCATCGAGGATTTTGTAGAATGTCAAAGTATAAGCATTTCTAGCTTATATTGGCGAATCCCTTTTCCGAAGGTTGTTTTCTTGCTCTAAAACGATATATGTAATTACACAGAAAATCTGTATGTAAGATTAACCTCAGTGGTGCGTAACAATTGTATCTGGATATACTTATGTACATTACAGACAGTACATGTAATACAGAAGTCAAAGTATTACATGAACTTTGTGTTGAAGAGCGTAAAAAACCAGTATTGCTATTCAGATAAAGCTTTAACGCTTGTTTCAAGCCCATTGCAGCAATCTATGCGCAATCGAGTGCACAAATTTAAATTATTAGTTGATTTGGTTCGCTGTTGGATTATTCCAAATGATCGGCGTTTCCTTTCGTAGCCTCGCGCCGCGCACTGTTCCTTCACAGTTACACCTTTCTACCGTCTTCAACATGGCACGCGATTCCCGTTCAAAATCCCCATTACGACGAGATCGACCAAAATACGCGTTTGACTGAACGCCATGTATCAGGGGAGCTCGGACGAGATCGCACAAGCAAATACAGGGATGAAGACGACGAACGAGACAGAAGGAACGACAGGTATCGGCGACGACGTCCTGATTACGAGGATGAAGATAGAAGAGTCCCTGTCCATCGAGAAAGAAACAGGATCCGAGAGAGCTGACTCTGGGTATGAAGGGCGTAGAAGGAAAGATGAGCACGACAATGAGCGATACAGGCACCGCAATATGGACGATCGCGACCGTGAACACGACCGAGGTCCTAAACCATCTACTTCACGCCATTCTCCGGGACCGAAGTCTCGATCTCCATCGCGTTCGCGCTCAAAATCTCCGTCTCCCGAGAAAGACAAAGACAAGGGCAAGCCGAACTTCAATCAGTCGGGGTTGTTGGCGGCGGTCACGAACATGGTGCGGCACGCAGACGGAACGTCGACAGTACTAAAGTACAATGAACCTGCAGAGGCACGGAAACCGCCTGTCGGATGGAGATTGTATGTTTTCAAGGAAAGGAGCAAACTGGTGCGTGTACCTGTTCCGTTTGACTTTTGAACGTCGCGCTGATTTTTCTCAGACCTATTGCATATTCACCGTCAAAGCTGCTACTTGATTGGACGCGACAAAGCTGTTGTAGACATATATATCGAACATCCGTCGTGTTCCAAGCAACATGCTGTTATTCAGCGTAAGCCGCTCTTTCCTCCTATCTGGTCGCCTCGCTCACGCAAATTTACGACCATAAAGACCGACAAGTTCAACAAAAAGACGATATTGGGGTCATCAAAGGCGGTGGTCAAGTGAGTTGATAGTTCTTTTCTGCGTGCTTCTTTTCTCAAAAACCAGCTCAGACCCTTTATTATCGACCTCGAGTCTACGAACGGTACACACGTCAATGATGAGGCTATTCCAGTGTCGCGGTACTATGAGCTGAAAATGGGTGACAGTGAGTGTTTCTACATATATTTGGGCTTTCGAGTTTATCCATTCATTGTCCATTTGTCCAGTCATCAAGTTTGGGCAGTCAACGCGGGAGTATGTCTTGCTGCACGATGATGCTTGACCATCCTAAGTCATCATTTTAGAAGTTACGAGTGTAACTTCTAGATTCGCGTTGTGCTGATGATGGAATGAAGAATTTATTGCTCGAGATGATTAAACACTCTTCCCGCTAGACGATCTCAGATCTGAAGGTTTACTTTTTGCGAGATGGCGACAAACAAACAATTCATCTATGAAGCCAATCATGTGCGTTGAAAATCATTACAGGAGGCAAGCTGATAGCGGGTAAATCGATAGCGATGGTTCATATACATGATGGACTATTAACAGGGATGATGCGAATGAGGTCGATGCGAATGAGGTCGAAATTTGAAAGAGGACTGGTCGAACGGGGAGTAGGCTTATGCAGGCGTTTAAGACATTGAAGGATCAAGGGAGTGATGAGTGTATGGAGAAAGACTCCGGGCTAAACTGGTTTCGAGCTGGTGGGCCCTTTTATTAGTGTCATGCACATGTAATCTGGTTGAAATCCTTTAACTAACTTATCAGCGTAGTTCCTTCAGACCCTTAGTTGACAAAAACGACGAGCCGTCCCATGGCACATTTTCCTCCTGTCAATGATCTGCGTGCTTTCTTGCAGGTGGTCTTTTGGTGTCTCAGGACAGAATCGCGTCTGGCGAGTTCCTGTCCACAATATTCGCAGATTGCCCGTTGCTGGAGATCGCGTGCTTCATGTCGTATGGCGGATCGATTGCCGTTCAAAACCATACCGTCCCTTGGACACTTGAAGAAGCCGGAACCGAGGTTTTTCCAACCTTTCTCTTTGAGTCCATAGGCAAGGAAGGATCCTGCAAGGTCCCAAATTCGGACCGATCGCGTTTATGAACGGACGTTGCGCGGATTTTCTCGAATGGGATGGTTTCGAAACGTTGCTTGGTGCCGTGGGCGAAGCGTCAGATGTCGCGATAGGCATTGGCAACACTGGTGTCGAAAATATTGGACCTTTGGGGCGGGAAAGCACAGGCGTAAACGCATAGCGCGCGACTGGAACGTACGTGTATTTCAAGGCATGGATAGACCCCTCAGTTTCTTGCTTTATGGATTGGCTACACTCAGGTTGGGATTGATGATGCTCCTTTGGCGTGTTGTAATGGGAATGATGGGAAGTGAGTCCAGGTGACCATTGATTGGCGCGGTCCGGTGGATCGGCTGGTGCTCGCTCTACGCTCGGACTCGGAGCATGTATTGACGAGCGGTCTGCTGGCGAACTCCATATGGGACACCTTACGTGCAAGATGGGAACATTAGACGGAACGCAGTCTGTAGACTGAGCACGCGCGTGCCCAGCTTCACAATTCAACTCCGACACGCCTGAGACGGTCATTACCCTTAAGCCGTGAAGGCACTCCGACTGAGGTTGGTTCCGCTGATCGAGCACGTCCGGACATCCTGGACTGAAACGCGCGCCCATGCAAGTTGTGCGCTGCAATAGTCCACAATAAAGTCTCCGCGAACTGGAAACTGTGCAAATTCAGCAGGAATTTCTAATGGTTTCAATGATGGGAGGATCGCAGATTGCTTGCGCGTGAATCGTGCTTTTTCCAAATGGACTCTGCTTGGCTTGTCTTCAAGTGTAAGCAAGGCTAGATTGCGAGTTGTGCTTTCGTCAATCTCTTTCTCAAATTTGTCATCATTCCTTGAGCCTCTGGCGCGCGACGATGAGACGCTGACACGCGAAGAGTCTTTCCTGTAGCTGTCTGCTGAAATCCTATTGTCACCGCCCAGCTCCGAGCACGGTCTTGCTTCTCCTTCGTCCGAAGACGATTCTGTATACCCGTAATGATCTAGACTTGAATTTCTTGCCTCACTAGAATAGCTTTGTTAATAAAGCGTTAGAAGTCTCCTGAGCCTCTGAGATGTATGTAAAATGTGGAGTGCGCACCATTTGGGATAGCCTAGAGGGCTTTTAGGTGAGGGTGGAAGGTGCGCGCATGTCTCTTCCAGTTTGCTTTCGAAAGGAAATGAAGTACAAAGAAACTTAAACATCGTTGTTGGCTACAAAGAACACATACACATTAGCAGCGACGAAAACGCGTCTCTTGAAAGGTGAGGAGGAACAGTCTTTGTAATTGATCCTGTTGGTGAGAATGTCAAAAAGGGGATACGACTTCCCGTGGGCGCCAATTAACGCACATGTTCAAACACTCTTCGGGATGCTTTCGCTTAATTTCGCACTGCCATTCCAGTCAGTGGGCATAGGAGAGGCAGACATATGTCGAAAGAGGTTTAGACAGGGACGCGTGAAGGAAGGTCGTGGTTGCGGTCAGAGGTGTGGACAGCTGTGCAACCCTTTTGTACTTTTTCGAACGTCACGATTCGCGACGCGTTGTGGCTTGCGAACCACGTTGTGGCTGATCAGGCCGTGTGACCCAAATGCAGCAGTGATAATGTGAAAAACAACAATGGCATATTTAGTCCTGTGGCTCGCGACTCGTTCGAATCATCCGCATCAGAACGCTCAGAGTTTCGCAGTAGTAGCCTGATGTTTGGGCCGTTAGAAGATGAAAGCAAGATTCAATATACGATGTGTTGTTGTTGCGAATCGAAAACTTCGTTTTGGCATCTAGCGGCGATGGGACGCGATTCCCATACAGGCTTTGATAGGTATATTGAGGGGCAATTGCAGTGCTATATGGCAACATATACAAGAAAACAACAAACGGCCACCCTTTTGCGAAAACAAGGTCTACAGCTTCTCCTCGCCTAATGCCTGTTATTCAAGTAGCTTTGGCAACTGCGTGGTATAACAGTAGATCGCCATCTGGCAGATCAAATCGAGCAAATTCTTCAGGTACATTCACAAACTGTAGCAATCAGAGCATACAAAGAGGGTAGCGGAGAAGAAGACGAGTGAACAATACAAAGCGGTACCGTGTACATCATGTGGCATGTGACTCGTAAACTCGCGTGCAGTTCGATCGCGTCTTGACTCTTGACCGCCACATCGACGGCACGTCGACAAAGAGCTTTCGACGATTGCCTTCTTCTGTAGCTCCTCCAGTGCACCTATAACCATGGCTCATCAAAGCAATGGAGAAGTTACGCAGTTTATCGACCCGAAATCGTACACATTTGTTGAAAACTTGACGCTTGACCTCCATGATCTTGCAAGCATCGTCCTTCGAGAACGGCTGCTTACCGAACCGCGTTTCAAACACTCGCGTCTTTTTGAAGTCTGCGATGGATCATGGCCTGCATCATGTCTTCCGGTCTCCATTCAGGCGGAGTGGATGGATCGGAGCGCCCCGAAAGTTGGTTACTTTTTGCAGGGGTCTGAAAAACTCGCAGACTCTCCTATCGAGCCGAACAACTTTCTCCATCCAAACATAAAATGCTCGCGAGAATTGGATTCACAGGATGTTGAGACTATTTACTGGCGCATTAAGCATCACGACAGCGGATACACTGTCTGTCATTCACTACAACTCGTCCTTGACAC